AACTACTTACGTAGTATATAATATTCACACTTTAACATATCTTATATATGATCGCACTAACAACAGCGAATAGCTCTCATTAGCCTTACTATTCTTGTTATTTGATATTTTATATATATAATTAATGTATATAACTATATATAATTTTATATAATATAAAACATTTTTTCCCGAGATTCAATTTAATCAACTTATAATTTTTATTCTTTAGAAAGAGATTTTATTCTAAAGATTTTAGAGAGATTAATTTATTATAAAACACACTTAAATCATTTTAAAAAATACATTATTATACAATATAATAAAATATGGCTGAATTTTTTAATGTCGAAGATACTTACTGAAATCACCATTGATTACAATAGGAATAACGCCATCAGGCCAACGGACATACTCGCGATCATCGATTAGTGCACTTCTTTTAGTTGTATCTGTAGCCATAATATCTCCTTCGAAGTAGTCACCCAATTCGTCTGGGTTTACGTTCATCTTTTCGGACCATTGGGCGGTCCTTAGTCCCATTTCGTAATTCGGAACCATTTCAATCCAATTTTTGTTATGGATGAGACAATTCTCTACATAAGAGTGCATTCCCATTGACATGATGATGACAAGCGTCCATGCGAAAGTGACTCGACACATGATTGACGTTTAGTCAAATTATTATATTGAAAAGTTGCCCTTTTCCATATCCTGACGTCGAAAGCAAATACAGTAATAAAATTTTCGAAATGTTTCCATTTATATACCCCATCGCAAATATTTTTACACTTTACTTACTTAAATAATCTTATCGCTTTGTTGACTAAATGATACTTTTAGCGAGAATGTAATTACTCATAAGTAGTTAGGATACTCATATGTAATTATATGTATATTACTCGTAAGTAATCAGGATAACATCGATATATATATACGTTGCACTTATCGAAAACTTAATTTATTCAATACAACTGTATATATACTATATTTACAGTAAATATCAACAAAAACTTTATATTTTTTACACTATATAAAAAGATTAGAAATATAAAATGTTTCTTTTTTTATATTAAAAGAAACTATTTTTGCCATATATCCCATAGGGGGTGTGTGGTTCGTGAAAAATTTACAAACGATGCTTAAGGATAGACGTAAAATTATAAATTATACAGTACTGTCGAGTTAAGAGAAGGGAAAAGGTAAATCACGATAAGACTACTCACTGATTCGAGGATTAGATGTAAAAAGAACTTTATTACAGAGCGTCCTTCTTGCTGGGTAACGCCATTACATTCAAAAAAAAACTTACTGTTCAACAGCGCCACTGCGCCGCATCAACTAACTCTACACTAGCGCTCGTCGGAAGCGTTAAAAGAAACAAACGTAAATCTGATAAGTACCTTATATTATAGTTTATATACGCTATCACGTAATATTCTCACGTATTACAATAATGTGAAAAATTTGTTTTGTATTAAAAATTCTTCTGTCAGAAGCATTTTCTTTCAGAAAAATTTCAACAAAGGAGAACTCTCGTCAAAACGTAATAAATTGTAGATTACATAAAAAATATAATCTTTTTGCTTACAAATTATTAAAAAAATCTTTCTTTGAAATATAAACTCCGTAAGTTTCCTTCTACATAGAATATAATTATCGAATAGAATAAAGAATAGAATTAACTTTTTCATTATTGTATATGTTACTTTATATATATATATATATACAGGGTGCCCGAATTTAAATGTCTAAACTTTCGAGAGCGCGTGTAGAGGATCGATAAACTAAGAAAAAAGTCCTGTAGAAATATGCTCATCTTCGCTTCGTTTTGGAAAAAATCGCAAAAAAAGACAAAACGTAGTTTTCATTTTTGTACTTTTTTATAACTTATTTACGTATTTATTCACTTGTTTAATGTAGATATTGTTTGTTTACATCGTCTAAAAATTGACATTATGATATCAACGAAACTTAGAAAAAAATTTGTTGTCGATATTATAATGTCATAAAAATTGTCATAATCCTTTTTTTCCTCTTTGACGCCATTTTTTTCAAATTTGTGATGATATAAAGAAGTAATTTAGCGTTATAGATAGAGCCTTTCTTATGGAGGATATAGACTATAGAGTTTTCTATACCCAGAAATTCCATGAATGTGAAATTTTACACCTATTTCCCTTATATTACTTATGTTCCAATCTTTATTTTTGCCAGTTCTTATTTTCGTTAAATTTAATTTCCGTGTTAGCTGGACCAGTCTCCTAAATGCCCGTATGAATGTTCCTTAAAAAAAAAACATTAAAATAAAAAAAATAGTCAGAAACAAGAGCAAAACGATTACCTTAGATGGTTAACATTAATTTATTTAACAAATATGTATAATTAGTAAGTAAAACGTTTTGCTCAATATAATTATATTAATTTTTTTAAATAAATTAATGTTAATCATCTAAGATAATTGTTGTTTTGCTTGTGTTTCTGGCCGTCTTATTATGATATGTTGCGTAACAATACACGAGAGCTAAATATTTATTCATATAATTAATTTTAAAAAAAAGGTTATCTATTGTAATATATGTATTTCGGACGTCAAAATGACTTTCGCACTTTGTAGATTAGTGACGGACCTGTACAACCTTCATGAACCTGGCACCCGACAATAAAAAAATTAAAATTTTTTTACACAAAATGATTTGTATTTCGTTTGTAGTTGTTTGTAGTAACAATAATTTCATTTGTAGTTACTTGTATATAAAAAATATAAAGGCTTAAAAAAATGATTTTGCTTTATTTTGAAATTAATTTTTTTACAATAGTTTAATTAACTATATCTCGCGAACGGTGCTACTACAAACAAAAGCAAAATCACTACAAACAACTACAAACGATTCTGAATCGAGTCCCGTACGCAGATTTAAGATATCTTGAGAATTGAAAAAATTAATTTTGTTTACAATTGTTTAATTAATTATATCTCGCGAACGGTGCAACTACCAACGAAAGCAAAATTACTAAAAACAACTACTAACGATTCTGAATCGAATTATATTATCAATTTTTTTTGTTAATGTCGGGTACATAAAATTGTATAATATTTAATAGTTACATATTATACGAATTTATTAATATTTATATATGATATTTATATAAACGCTTCTTTTTTATTGGGTGCATCCAGATATTTTTAATTTAAAAGAATATGGTTTCAAAACAAAAACAATGACATCATAGTTCATAATTGTAGGCATTATTATGACATATTCCATTGCATAATAGAAACACAAAATGCGTCTCTGTAATTTTTCTAATAACCGTAATACTTACCAAAAAGCTACGCTGTTTTTTAAAAATAGAGGCAATGTTCTCTTTTTGTAAATGTAAACTGTTCAAAAAACGATATATGAGACGTCAATACGTAAAATTATAAAAATAAAACATATTAGAATTTAAATAATTTTCCTATCTCCATATAATAAATATTATGTATACAATATTATCTAACATTCAATTTTGTGTGTGTGTGTGTGTGTTGTATCTTTATAATATTAATTTTAATGAGATATTTCAGTTTTACTGGCGGAGTATTTAAAGCAGTAATAATATTTATGAATTAAAAGAGATAGCTGCAGAATTTTTTATATTGTTTACTAATTTAAAATTATTTACTAGTTTGTCATACATTTTGCTATACGTTATATTTTGCTATGCTTATTAAATTTGATTGTAATATAAAAATATCAAATATATTATATAGAATCGAGAAAAGCTTTACAAACACAAACATCAAGCGAACAAAACTGGGCATTTAAAAACTTGCACTTACTTGTTAGCGTGAAAAATGAAATATCTCAGACGATTTTTTTAATTATTTTTACACATAAAACTTTAATGCGCTTTCAAATAATGATTATTCAAATCAACAAAAAATTTTTTGTTAAATAACTCTAATCAGAGTAGATGTTTCTTATAGTTCTTTTAATTACAAAAAACGATGTTGTTAAATTGCTCCATTATGGCAAATTTTAAAATTATTTAGAATTAAAAAATAAAAAATGAGCAATTCATAGAAAAAGATGAGCAGAAGTTATTAGCTTTTATTGATAGTTCCTCTTAATATCTCCGCTATTAGATAGCAAATTTTAATATTATAATTATTTATGAAATCATTCAGTAGCCTATAGTTCACCATGCCAATACATAATAACCGAACTTGGTAAAAGTTTCGATTAGACCTTCCTCCAATGATTTTGACCTTGACATATGTTGTCAAGGTCATGACTCTGAGTAACCTCTAACAGGTTTTAGCCATCGCTCATCCTCCGTTAAAAAGTTATTAACAATCATAGTTCTAAAATATACGTTTCATTTCTGCTATATATGTATGATATCGAGTACTATTCTTCACCTTTCCTTGTTTAGAAACGTTAAGCTTTCCACGCGAAGTTACTTTCACTCCCACCCCCCCTACACAGGGGCACAGGACTTCTATGATTGTACTGTTGCTATGATAGTACTGTCGGGACAGACCTCTGTCGACGGTGTGGGTTCGGGGGGGTGGCCGAAGGCCGCCCCCTTGCACCCGCCCGTGTGTGTGTGTGTGTGTGTGTGT